TTCCTCAGTGGAAGAAAATGGTTATTTAAATGTTTAGCTCTCTTAACAGATAACAAAAAGTTGGAAATGGGGGCCAGGGACATAGCTCAGCGGCACAAGCGCCTGCCTGGCAAGCACAAGGTCCTGAGTTCGATTCCCGGCACCAAAAAAAAAAAAAGTTGGAAATGATAAGCTAGCCATTCACTTCTACTTTAACCTCTGACCCTGTCTAGAAATTTAAGAGCTTTCAACTTAAGAGGTAACAGTCTCGAGCAGCAACAAGCTAGAATATATTTTTTAAAAATTCAAACATAGGGGCTGGGGATTTAGCTCAGCGGCAAAAGCGCCTGCTTGGCAAGCGCAAGGTCGTGAGTTCGGTTCCTGGTACCGGAGAAAAACCCAAAAAATAAAAAATAAAAAAAATAAAAATTCAAACATAAGAGACTGCTTTTAGTTACATTAAAGTTCTTTTTATGGGAACACAGAGAGCAATACTATACTTGTGAATTATCAACTAGCTGCAAGGAAAAGCAGCTAAGATAATACGATAATCCACTAGAACTATAAACACTAAATTAGGAATACCATGAGTATTTAAATTTATTAACTACTACGAAAACTATGTAAAATGCTCATGTTCCAATGCATTTAAAAATTACAAAATAACCCACATGAAACAGCTGTTTTCTGATCCGTGAAGAGGGGCAAGATGGTTTAAGGGCATTATTTAGGCCTGTGAAAATTAAAAATCTGTTCTGGGACAATTCAAATACATGAACATGTTTATTCATCACCTAGCACTTACCCAGTAAGTATTTTCCTTGATAATTATAAAGTGAAACAAATTTGCTATTTTCACGTGCAAACATTGTACAGAAGTAAAACGTCACAATTAGGTTATTCTTGTTAAAATGACATTGCTAATGGATTGTTTTGTTTTGTTTTTATTGAATTTATCTTTCTTAACCTATGATAAAACTACCTAGGTTGAAAATCCTACCATTAAGTCAATAAAAACTTTCTGAATGTCCTATTCATAGGTATCGTTAAATATTTTTCCTGTAACTAAAATACTAGAAAAAGACCAAAACCTTTGCAGTCAACTCTATATTGACAGAAAAAATGGAAACAAAACTTTTGTAAATAAAAAGGGGAAGAAAGGTTGAAGGGATTTGAGGGGAATGGGAAAAAAAGCAGCAAGATATATCACATACAGGTACAAATTCCCTATGAGGAATGTTATCATTATGTATATCTAAAATGTACCAATGAAATAAAGTTTTAAAAAACCACTCCATTCACTAATTACCTCACAACAGGTTTTAAAAAGGAATGGAGGACAAACAAAGCTACTCAATGTCAAAGTGATTGAACTGACTAAAAGGTAGGGCAACAACAGGTTCACAGTCCATAAAGACACAAACATTATTACCTAAAGGACAAGAATGACAGTTCAGGGGCTGGGAATTTAGCTCGGCAGCACAGCGCCTGCCTGGCAAGCACAAGGTCGTGAGTTCAATTCCTGGTACCGGAAAAAACCAACCCCCCCCCCAGGGGGGGTTTAACTTCACCAGATTAAAAAGTATGTCCGGGCTGGAGTAACTATGAACTTGATCTATCAATCTTCCTGGCTATATCCACCCAAAACAAACAAAAAAAAGCAAAACCCAGAAAAAAACAAAAAAACCCAGATCCCTCCAAAAAATGATGCTGACATCCTTCTGGTTTACAATCTCCCAATACCACTAACCTCACCTCCCACTACACTATCTATCCCTTTACTTTGTTGGCGCCAAACACACAAATCTTGTGGCTCTTGCAATGTGCTGTGCTCATTCCTGCTTCAGGATCTTTGTACCCACTGTTTTCCTGAACTGAAACTTTTTCCTGAACTCTTCAATCAGGTTTCTGCTCAGCATTATTCCCCTCAGAAAGGTCTCCTATATTTCTTATTTTTTAGGTTTCTTTATAGTACTTAACACCATCCTCAATTCAACCTATGTGGTCGAACTGTCTCTCCAAATGAAATGTGAACATTCCATGGACCACCACTGCACCTACAATAGTGTCCAACATACAGTGTCCACTCCGTAAATATTTATTGGAAAAATTAGTTGAATAAACAATAGCTGGTAGTATACATTATATTTACTATGTGTGAAAAACATTTAAAAAATAAAGCCCAGTTATTTGGAGTATTAAGAAACATTTGCCTTAGCTCTATTTCCTTATTAAAAGGTCATACACGTTAATGCTTCAACTTGTAAGACTCTTTATAATAGGTGGCTCAATGGGTTATTTGATAAATGCACTGTTCATTACAGAGCTAATACTACTATATGAATGATTAATTCACTGTGCCTTAACATTACCATGTACCTATTAACTAAACCTTTTTAGGTTGCCATGTTTGATCCCTG